ATTTATGTTTCACATGAAAAACAACACTAATTAATCTGGATCCCGACTTAAACTCCTGATATTGTGTCTTGCAATTTGAACTGTCACGACGATACATCCTGATCATTAATAACGAATATAATCTTTTTAACTTCCCTACAAACAAAATTTATTACCCTGCTTGCTCGAGAAGAGTCCCTGTAAGAGATGGAACTGATCATTGCTAGTTAAATTTATTTGAGTGCCATGCCTGAGGAATGTCAGAAGATCAAATGAAATTTAAACCAAGCCACTTGCTTAATTACCAAGGGAAAAAAAGTAAGGAAAAAAACACTAGACGTAATAGTGTGCGAGTAAAAAGGGAAGCTAACAGATTTGTTATAGTTATATATTTTTTTTAAACATGGTTTTTTTCCTTTTGTTTTCGGTGATAGTAAGTAGTACACTACTTAATCTTTCTGACATCTTTCATTGTACAAATAATCCAACCTTCCCGAACAGACTTGATTCAATTGGTTGTCCTTCGCCCATGACAAAACACATGGCTGCTTAGTTCAATTTCAAGAAACTCTTATTTCAGTTATTTGTGTACATAGTTAGTCTCTAAAAGTACGTATCGAACCGGAGAGCCTGCTACTCTGAAATGGGCCACATGGGCCAGATCCCTTTTTCCTATATTTAACAAAAAAAAAAAAAAAAAAATCAACCTTCAGTGGACAGACGACCCTTTCTGCCTGTGATGATTTTGTAGAAGGGTTTTTTCTTTTTTGTTTTTTTAATTAAGGTAAGTAGCTAGTGTGCGATATTTTTCGCGCAAGTTACCAAATTAATTCTCCTCAAATTGATGGCTGCAGAACGTAGTTTGCGCTTCGTCCACTGTTCTCATCTGAAATTAGATGACTAAATTATAAATTTGGATACTATATAGAGAACGGATCCACCTACCACCAAAAAAAGTTTACAACTATTACAACCAATAAAATCACCGTTGATTTCCGTTAATCTAACGGTTATAATTTATTGAAAATTAATAACAGTTATATTATATTTTTAGCACATTGTCATTTGGCACTCCCCTCCACCCACTCCTTCCCTTAGGAATGGATCGTCTAATGTTTGACATTTCACACAATTTTGTTACGTTAAAATTTTGTACCAATCTCTCTTCTCATAAATATTCGTAAGATTTAATAGGACCTCACTTATTTAATTTATGCAAAAGCATATATAAATATAAAATTTCAATATAACATATCATGTGAAATTTAATATGAGAAGATTCACTTCCCCCTTTTTATAACTTTCCCTTTTTGCATGAATAAGATTTAATGAGTAACTGACTTCTTGTTAAGTTTTGTTGAGGAATGGACTTGTTTCCAAAGCTTTGTCAAGTGAGAGACTTATTGGCTCCAAAACATCATCTTAATTAATAAAATTAACATGGACTTGTTGAGTAATGTTCATTCTCTCTTATTCTGTATCTGAGTGTTATGATTTTTATTTTTATTTTATTTTTTTTGTTATTGACCTAAAGGTAGGATTACAAAGCTTCTGGCTTATCTTTAACTATAAAGAATGCTTTTAATTATAAGTTATTTCAAAAATAAAGTAGGTCAATATAAATACGTATTAAATTTATTCGGAAACTTGATTGTGATAGAGATAATATATTGTATCACTAAGCTGATTGATTTGAGTTAATTTTAAGAAAATAAGTAAAAAATTAAAGACATTCATGGTATAAAATACCATGCACAATTAATATATTTATTTTCACACACACACATAATTAAATGACCGACTTTTAAACACTATAAATAGCTTAGCTTCGGGAGATGAATAATGTTTTATTTTCGTTCATGTGTAATTTTATGAGGCTGTGAATATGATTATTTTGTTACAAATATTTATTTGCATCTAAAATAAGGGGCGAAGTTACGATCGATGAACTTCCTTAGGTACAGAATTGAGACTGTTCCGTAACATTGAATGTGAGCCAATCCACACAACAATTGGCTTCATCATGGAATTACCTCCCAATTTCTGTGAAGAAGCAACTTAACGCCTATAATAATATTACCATAAATGTGGCATCTGAATTACCATTTTTCAATAATTAATAAGCAACATAATGATAAAAAATATATATCCCTTGACTATTTAACTCGGATTTTAAAATTTTAAGTCCTAAAAAGTTTATATAAGTACAAATACATATACGTATATACATGGTTATTTGATTAAATATGTATGTCTCAGAAAATTAAAATAAAAATAAAAATTTCATGCTCTGTGTGTTGAGATATATAGTCTCACATTGGTTGTATGAGGCTATGAGCAACTAATGTGAAGTTTATAAGGCTTTGTGCACTTCCATCCTTTGAGCTAGTTTTTGGGTGGTGTATCCCAAGGTTCTTTACATGATATCAGAGTTTCGTCACCCTCCACTTTCTCTTGTGAACTTTCTTAGCACAGGTAGGTTGGGCGGGCTCTCGTGTGAGGGAGCGTGTTGAGATATATACTCGCACGTAGAGTTTATAAGACTTTGAACACTCTCACCTTTGAGTGATTATAGTGTATCCCAAAATTCTTTAGAGTGTGTTCATCCGGTTATGGTGCAAGATCACATGCATCGGAATCCCTTCTCACATCGCATTTTTTATTTGTCCAACCATTTTGAATCACTATTCTTCGTATATTCATAACTTGATGGAGATCAAAAGAATAAATATTCAATATACACAGTAAATCCAAAGCATTTATTAAAGTGACTGCATAATTAATTACTATAATCATGATGTACAGCACCAAGAAAGCGCAGACAACTGTTAAGTGTTTCTTTGTCGGGTGTGTGTATATTTATATCAAGACATATCTCTCTGCTAAGTTAATCCAAAGTTATGCTTTTTGTCCTTTCCTCGTCGATTAACACAACTTTTAGCATTTGATTCTCTGCACCAATGTTCTTTGGTGGGTATCACTGTGTACTATAGCTTGGTTGGCCTAATCTCAAAAGGTAAAACTGTTACACATTTAGAAATTGAAAAGAATAAACATATAGGGTTTTCCAATACCCAACCTATAAATTTGAAAGTACAAGCCAAAGAGGAGGTTGAGTAAGATTGCAGCAAAACACAACACTTTCTCAAAAATTAATGATGCAATTTGTTTTTTCTGTCTCCTTGATTCGATTCTTTTATAGAGTCTATGTAATGTTCACAACCATGTGCTTTTGATTTAGATTGCCTGTTCATGCTTTATGGTTTCTCCTTAAAGGTTCATTGGTCTTCCTCTGCAAAGTTTTTGGGTTATTTTATGGTTTTAATGTTTCTAAAGTGAATGTAGATAAGTTATTTATATTCACTCTCAAAATGTCGTCGTTTTGATTTGAAAAATTAAAAAATTATAATAAAAATGACTATTATAATCCTGAAATAAATTATAATTACAATAACACCTTAATTTCTGCCTCAAAACGATGTCGTTTTAGGCTCGATGTAGATAAATTATCTACATTGACGATAGAAAAACGGAACCCTTATTTTATAGTTATTAGTTAGGATAATTTTATTTGTTTATCTATTTCACTCATATATTATATGCATAAAGTTCTTATTTGTGTTAAAAAAAATTATAATATATAATTATTTTTATTAATAGAATAAGGACAATAAAATCGTTAAACGAAGGTCCATCTATAATTTTTAGAAAAATATTATATTTCTCTAAAATTATTGATGAATCTTCATTTACCAATTTCAGCTTTTGGATGAATTGGTTGCTTTATCAACCTTCATGTCAATGAATCACGAAGAAATTACTGGACCGATAACCCCAACCCTGTGATCCTTTTTTAATATTATGCAGCACAATTATGGATGATACATTACAGAGTGTTCCAACATTATAAGATATTTTTCTGTTGGAAATCGATATCGTTGATTGAAAATGTTATTCGAATGGTTAAAGCAAGACATAACATAAACATTATTCCAAATAATGCTCCTATATAATAAGTTTCTAATTTGGTTTCATACATGCTTCTCTCTCATTGATTTTTCTTAATTGCCAATTGCCCTTATCAACTATCATAAATCTTATTCTTCACCGGCCACCGCCCTAGAGCGGAAGGTTTTTATCACTTAACATCAGGTTTTTATCACATTAGATGACAATTTTGTAGTTATTAATAAAAATATATCATTTGAAAATAAAAAAACACAATAAATCACAAGCAGCTAAAACCTAGAAAATAAGACTTTTTAATCTTTGATAGAAAGATTAAATTAAGTTTAACTACATCCGCATCAAAAAAGAAACAAGATTAACTACAGTCCAAGTTGGTGTTACACATCTCAATCCCCCACCCAAAAAAAAAAAAAAAATCCATGGAAGGCAATATAGCACTGTGCCCTAGATAATGAATCGCTATCTGATTGAACAGGTGAATTTTGCTCTAGTGTACTTTCTGGTTAATCACAACGTTAATGTCATTGAAATGTGCTTTCAATAATTATTAAACCAAAGGATTAATCACAACGTTAATGTCATTGAAATGTGCTTTCAATAATTATTAAACCAAAGGATCACACAATACATCAAAATATAAATTGGAAAGATATATTTAATTAAAAAGACTTGCTCTGACTCTACAGCCACACAGAAGAGCAGCACAGAATTGAAGAAATATAGACCTCAAATTAGTTTGCAAACAAATGCCAAAGGCCTTATAATTCGAGTGCAGGACAAACATGCAACTGTTTTATGAAAAAAGAGGTTCGATATCTATCAGTCACTTCATAAATCTAATTGGCTGAAACTTTTTATTATTAGTTTCACTCAAGCCCCTTTGAAAAAGTAGATGACATATTAATTAAACATTCCTCGTGGCATAGCTGCAAATAAAAAAAAATGCAGCTTGTTACTGCCTTTCCCTTGTTGAAGGAGTACCCCACAATAATTATAATTTAACTCCTTATTTTTTTTCTTGATGACCAAAAGAAGGATCATACAAAAGAACTTCTGTTTACTTCTATTTTCTATCAACCATAGGCCAAGCTAAAAAAACTTTTACTTACATAAGCAAATATGAAATTTACATATCTGCCATCACCAAGATGAAAATACTACTAAATTAAATTAGAAAGGATAAGATACTTGTAACTCAACTAATCAAGAGTGATGTCATCCAAAAACTGAGACCATATATTGTTAGTGATGATATTTTGTCAGCATTGCAGCACAGTCAGATTGTTGCGGGTACTGTATGTATGATTGCAGCTAAAAAGCACCAATTCAAGCAGAAATGACCGCCACACACATGATCACCACACTTGCAAGTATTAACCACAGGCACAAGCAGCCCTACCATGAGATGGACGGCAAGATTGGCAGACAGAGAGATTCATTTAGTTAGCCCTGCCAATAATGAAATCATGAACACCCTCAACATTTTGATTAAAGTAAAACTTCAGCCACAAAAGCTCATGAATCTACCTCCCTTATCTTAGCAAACTAGAAGGTTTACTAAGGTCCCACAATCCCACAGCATATCAAAATAATATCACATAGGCCCTCTTCCAATGTCAAACACATGACTTTGCATCTCTTTTAGGGGCCAGCAGATTCTTGTGTAACAAAAGGCAAATTTAGGCTTGGCACCAAGACAAGCTAGAACTTGGCCACTTGCTAATTTCCAGCAGAGTTACATTACAACCATAATAGCCACCCTCCAAAAGCCAAAGTTCCTCATTAATCAAAACTGCAATTTCTGCTTAAGGTTTGACCTTAACCAGCTTTGTTACTGATGCTGTCAAAGTCAACATCGCTCTAAAGCCTCCAAGAAAATTAGCAGCATGTAATTTCCTAAGGACAACATGCCCAAACAAAGCAATGAATCTTGACCCTATCATCCAACATAGGAAAAGTCACTTCACCTCAAACGGGTACAGGTAAACCATAATTAAGGAATGATTTTATCCTCCCATCCAAGCCTGCGGTCACAATGACCATACCCCATGCATGAGCACGGGAGGTACTCTTGCATGAAGATTTCAAGAACTTGTATTCAGATTTATTCATCGTGGATGTTTTAGCCTTGGAGCTTGAAACAGGAAGCTTCTCCTCAGGCCATGTTGCAGATCCCTTGGGAAAAGACTCCAAGAAAAATTCTTGGCCCAGAGTGAAAGAAGAAGGCGCACTGACACACATAACTTGAGGTGATCCTTTACCCAAGACGTCCAATTGGTGTTCATTTTCAGTATTTTGAGATTTCAAACCATGCCAGGGTACTGCAACGGATGCATTTGAGAAAAAACGCTCACAAGACCTAATCTTATTAGCTTTCATGGGATTAGACTCTTCCTGACTAACGTTCCATAGATATACATTAGAGTCTTCACATGCTGATAAAATATGTTTCCCATCAGAAGTAAATGATGCACACATAGGGCTCCCTGTGCTAAGGCCTAAAAACAAAGTATGAAGAACCTTAGTAACAAAATAAATAATAAAATAAACTCAAAATTAGAGGCCACTGAAACAATAGTAGGAATAATAGCTAAGCCTTATCAAGCTTCAAGCAATCATGTGAGTTGTCAGCATTAAGTTCCCCAACAAAAAAGCCAAAACAAATTGAATAGAAAAATAGCCTATTAAATCCTAAAAGAATGACTTTTGGGGACTGAAGAAAATTCTTCATAAATGAAGGAAATAGACAAAGGAACATACTTTTGTATTTGCCAATCACATTAAGCCCATCAAGGATTCTGACTTGTGAATCAGCACAAGTAACCATAACTTTGTTAAAATCTTGCGGAAGAAACTGAAATAACATATAAAAAGTAGATCAGAAAAACTGAACTTAAATAAAAACCACAAATACATGGTAAAAAAGCCAAAACGGCACACTTGGCACAAGAAGCATAAGAAAAAAAAATACCTGAAAAGCAGTTATCCCTCTGGCAGGAAGTTTCTTTTTACTAATTAAGGATACTTGGGAATCTAACTGCAGGAGATTCTCTGGTTCAAGCAAAATTGAAAACAAGCAGGGATAAGGACCAAGCTCAAATCTTGAGTGATTGTAATATAGCAAATGACAGTGAAAACACCCCAATCATAATTTGATTAACGTTTCCAGGCATACAGAATCTAGTTACTTCATCAAAATTAGTAGTTTAATAACATAGCCTAACATCCTGTCTGATAACTACTTACATTTCAATAGCACAATTAATCATATGTTTAAGAAATAAATTGAGTGGAAGAAGTGTTAATTTTATCACAGATTTAACATTTTCTTTAAGTAGAGTGGTACCTATAAGGCAGCCCAATCAGCAAATCTATTATTCATACTTTAGTGCAACAGAGGAACTACATTGATCATCAAGTAAAAAAGCTAACCACATAAAGATCTGGTTTAGCAAATTTAAAAACTTCAATTTCAATGTTGGTCTAAAGAAAGATGTAATCACAGTGACCATAATCCATCCAGGAAATGCCCCTTTGCAAAAAATAAATTAAAAAATCATGTGCAGGGTGTAGTTCACTAGTTCCACCAAGCTATATTATATCCCTTACCAATCATAACACAATAAAAATTTTAAATCCAAATCCCAAGCAATCATTATGAAATCTACCAAATGACACCTATCTTGTTTAACTAGAGGAAAATGAAATATGGAGATATATGTAAAAATGATAATACCTGATATATTATAAAACCGACAATTGCCTGCCAAGGAGCCAACAATCCCTCCCTGTATAAAGTACATCATTCATCTGAGATCATTTCCTATAGTCTTTGTTTCTATAGAATTTAAATTGGTTTAGAAAAAAAGTTACCTGCCCATCAGGCCGATAACATACTGCAGTCACTATATCTCTGATATCAGTCCAATCAACAACATGACAATCAGGAATTGCCCAGATGCGCACTTTCCCATCTATAGATCCACTAATGAAATAATTATCATCCACTGGATTGAATTGTATGCATGTAACTATACAGCATTATCAAATACAAAAAAAAAAAAAATTGTTAGACAATTTGGGATGATAAAAACAAATTAGGATAACGGCTCAAGAAGCCTGAAAAGGAAAACAGCAAGACTCACCATAATTACTGTGTGAGAAAACTTTCAAGCAATGGTCATGTTTCACTTTCCATAGACGCACAGTATTGTCAACTGAAGATGACAGAAGATACTGCATAAAAAAAGAAGATGAAGAACCAAATCAATTTCACCAATACATAAGTGTATGCTTGGTTTATTAAATAACAAAATTAATGACATTCACTCACATTATTCTTTGACCAAGAGAGATCCAAAACTTCACCTTTATGCCCACGGAACTCATGCAATGGTTTCTCCAACAACCGGAAGACCTTAGGTGGGAAAACGATGCAAGCTGAATCTGATGTTTTTCTAAGGCTCTTCAGTTTGCTAATTTTTTCCTTACCCATCAACAGTGGTGTCAATTCAGAGAGATTATTTACTTTAAAGTAAATGCAGGATGGGTCAATTTCTGGAATGTCAATTTCATCACATCTATCCTCCTCAACCACTTGCCACAAGCGCACAACCCCATCTTCACCGGCACTGGCAAGATACTGCCCATCAGGACTGAATTTCATGGTCAAAATCGAACCATCATGTGCTTGGATATCTTGCCTCATGTAAAGAGCTGAAAGTTCCTTCATATGCTTCCTGCATTGACGGACCTTAACTTTCTGAAGCCTACACCCTGAGAACCCAATATTACCTTCTCCTTGATCAATCATACATGTTATCGACCGCAATCTTCTGAACCAACCCCTTCTAGCACTGCTCCTCCTCCTCCTCCGAGCAGAAGCATCACCATCAGTCTCCTCAACCCCCCTATCATCCACCAAACATTGAACAGAAGGAGACACACCAGAGGCGTTCTCAGAATCCTCTGCAGTCACCAACTGATCTGAATTCAGATCTCTTCCATCACTCATCTTCCTATGCTGGTGCCCCTCCTGATCCACATTACACCCCACTCCATTCTCCAAAATCCCATCTTGACATGGCAAGTTCTCCACTAAACCAAACTCCTCTGATGAATTCACACTAGGCCAACAAGACATAGATGATCGACTTGAACAGAAATCTTCTTCAAAACCACAAGTTCTGGAAACAGCCCCACTACTATTATCTTTTACTCTATCCATCACCTCTTCCTGCTCAACACTAAACACATCTACTGAATTTTCAAGGTTAGTACCATCCATACTAAGTCCCATGCTCTTCATAAACTTCATCCTACGCTCTCTCACACTCCTTGGGCTCCGAATCCACACTTCATAATCAAAAGCATTGGATACCCCTTCATCAGCGCTATCAGATTTTGCATCCGAAATGGACACAACATCATCCTCTTGAGCGTCGAAAAACCGACATTCTTCGTCTTCGCTGAAGCTACCCATGATTCTTGAAATTCAACCCATTAAATCCCCCTCAAAGAAGCAACATTTTAAGCACTGGAAATGTGTCAAAATCCAATTTTTTTTACTCTCCAGAAGAAGCCACCCAGATCATGAACTATATATTTCAAAAAATGAAAAGCACAGAAACCAATATCAGCCGATATACACAATTTACTAAACCACACAACAATGATAATAATTTAATAAGAAGGAAACAGAAACCGAGAGATCCAACATAGATCCCAATCCAAACCCACATTAACCTGGCCATAACAAGGAACAAGCATTCGATAATTGGGTATGTAAATCACTATCGAGAAATCAAAAATGAAAATAAAAATAAAAAAATAAAAAATCCAAACTCAAAAATCAAAATGAACCGACAGAAAACAGAAAAAGAAAAAAGAAAGTCGAAAGCACATCAAAACCCGTGAAAAAAAAAGGCAGAATGAATTAGAAAAGCGGGGAACTTGAGAGAGGAAGTGTTGGAAGGAGACAACTTTACGAAGAAGAAATAATGAAATATGCTTACATGGGGTTGGGGTGTGTTGATGATCACAAGAAGATTGGTGAGAAGGGCACAGATCGAAGCAGCATCGAAGTGTTGTGAGGAGACTAGGAAGCAAAGATGAAGAGAGCACTGCACTATGAGCAAGAACGAAAATACCAAGGGACTACAGATATATATATACAGGGTAATACTTCTCTCGTTTAACATGAGAAAAGTTTTTTTTCCTACACTAACAAGAAATGTGGAGCCCACAAGTTAAAGAAAAATAAAAAAAAAAAAGAAATTGCAAGCACGTCTTTTTATATCTCACTGACATGAGATAATTATCTCCTACGGTTGGAGAAAACTATTTCCGATATATATATATAAGTGAATGTGCAAAAGTGAAAAAAAAATAAACAGAGAGAGAAGGGGAAGGAAAATCCGTTTTCAAAGGAACAAAAAGAGGAAGGTGGCAAAGGGTAAAACAGGAAAAGGGAACACATTCATCGATATTGGTGAAAACATGGCCCAAGAAACGAGATTTCGAGGGAGAGCACTGGGCAGGGGCGGGTTGTGTGTTGTGTGCGCGAATTCTCTCTCTCTCTATTTTTCTCTGCTCCTGTCTTTATTTTGTGCTAATGTAATTCTTAAAAGTTAAAAAAAAAAAAAAAAACACAAACACAACAATACGCGTTCCTTATGGGACGTAGGATATTGTGACAACCAAATATTACTATCAATATTATTATCACATCTTAACTGTTGATTTCCGTCAATCAACGGTTATCATTTATTGTGAATTAATAATTAATTAATGAGTTTGATTTGAAAAATGATAATCGTTGATTGGCGAAAATCAACGGATGTGGTAGTAACATTGGTAGTAACATTATTTAGTTGTCACAATATCCTATCTCATGTTATATTTATAATTTATTTTTATATATAATCTATCTTTTTTTCAATCTTTCATGACCAATATCTTAATCGTGAATTTACGTCAATCAAAGGTTATTATTTTCACAAATTAAACTCATTAATTAATATTTAATTTGCCATGAATGATAACCGTTGATTGACGAAAATCAACGGTTAAGATATGCTTGTAAAAGATTATAAACAAAAATAGGTTGTAACTATAACCTTTCCTTATACTTATAACTAAAAATATTTATTATTGTTATAACTAATCTAATCACCATTAATTTCTATCAATCTAACGATTATAATTTATTGAGAATTAATAATTAATTAATAAGTACAACCAAATAATTTTCAGTAAAGTATAACTGTTAGATTGACGGAAATCAACGGTGATTAAATTGATTGTAATGATGGTAAACATTTTTTGTGGTAAGTATATCCTTCCCTTTTATAACTAATTCAAGTTTTTACAAAATACAAAAGATTATAAATAGGTTCGCTTTTTTTCTACAGTTGCTGTAGTTATCTGCAGTAAGCTTAATACGACGTCATTTTGGGACGAAAATATGATATTTTTGTGATTTTAATTTATTTTAGGGTTATTAATTATAATCTTTATAATTATAATTTTCTAATGTTTCAATCTCAATACGATGTTTTGAAAATAAATGCAGATAAGTTATCTGCATTAATTGCTGAAATATTTTTCTGATTATAAATATAGGTTGGATGTTTCTTCTTTAAATGGATATAGAATGGTATAATTTTGTCCGTTTGTTTTCTGCTTCCTTTTGTTTCAAAGTAAATTGTATTATTTAAAGCGAAAGAAAAATATAAATAATAAAAATTACTAAGAAAAAAAGTGAGTGATTTTTTTTAATTTAAATAAAAAATTATTAATTTATGTTTCTCTTTAATTTAAATAATATAACTTTATATTCTTTAAAAGGATAAATATTTTTTTCTATAAATATACAAGGTTTATTATTATTTTATCAGATAAGTTATTCTACCTGTCTTTTTTAATTTTTTTATCTTTGTCTGTCACTCTCTTATAATATCATTAGATCATATCTCAATATAAGAAAGAAATAAAATAATTGAAATAATGGAAATTACTTAAATTTTTTTTTTTTTTTGGGCTTTAAATCCTAAGATGATATTAGAAATGATGAAACACATACTCTGCTCAATTTTAATTCTAATGTGTGAGAACTGATCTACCATATTATATCGTAATGAAAAGATGTGATTTGATGAGAAAATTAAGAAATCTTAGAAGGTATTATTTCAGGAAGATAATATTTTGATTCTAACGTTATTTTGCGTTTAGAGAAGAAAAACTATTCCTTTTTTTCATTGCATATTTGCCAGCTACTACAATTTAAAGAAGATGATTGATCAAATTCTCTTGATTGATTTATTAATACATGATTAGGGGAATGTAAAGAACTTTACGTACTATTAAACAAAATTAAAATCAATTACAAAAGCCATTTTTTACTGTAATCATTTATTTCAAAATAGTTATTGTAAAAAAAATAGAAAAACTAATTAAGTTAGGTTGGAACCGAAATATGGGAGAGGTTATAGTTAGTACATTTTTTTTTTAATACTTGTTACTACAAAATCTTAACCGTTGATTTCTGTCAATCTAATGGTTATAATTTATTAGGTCACACTTATTAATTAATTATTAATTCTAATAAATTATAACCGTTAGATTGACGAAAATCAACAGTTAAGATTTGGTAGTAACAAGTAGTAAGAAAAAAAGGTAGTAACTGTAACCTTTCTCCCGAAATATTATGGTTTTAATATAATCTTAGTCTCTTAGAGAGCACATTGACAAAAAAAAAATGCCAAAATTTGTTGAAATAAACCTAAAAAAACCTACTTAACTTACAAATTGTGAAATCTTGTCCGCGTTGATAATAAAAAATATTTGTAATCACATCATCTTCATATAAATTAATAAAACTATTTTAAAATATATATGTAATTGATTTCAGGTTAGATGATTACATATCCGTACCTTAACTCCTTTTTCTTTTTGGTAGTCTAATGACTCCTTTATTATGGTCTAATGTGTCATAATCAGATAAAATTAAACTTGGTGTATTTTCAAATATTTAAGAAACAAATATGTTTGAATTCCTTCCATATCGTCGATAATAAACCGAAAGATAAATCTATATGTGGTCCACTCTCTCTCAGTGTTAAGAAACCGTCTTTTTATATTAAAATCACAAGGCAAAGACGTTCAAAACATGTAATTACACTTATAACACACATACGATATGAGTTTATTCATTATATTTTCTTTTGTATGTTTTTTCTACGAGACTTCTGCAAAATCTTAAATTCATAAGAATTCAGTCAGAATCAAATCTTTATATTTTAGGAAGCAATTAACTCCCTTAATTTTGGTGATTAAATAGAATCAGTTTTAATATTTCATCAATTAAAATTATTAATTTTATTTTTTACATTTAAACTGTATCCGTCATAGTATACAAAATATATTTTTTACAATATAAATGGTAGGCAGTCAAATTTAGATGTAATTTGAGCGTAATAATAAGAAAATACTTTTAAAACAAATAACACTAAACTTGCATGGAATATAAGTCATGATCAAGTTATTTTTAATCCGGAAACTCTATTCAAATGTACTTACTCTAAGGGGATCCAAGTTATTCTAGAGTTGAATTGTTTCCTAAAAAGTGTACCATTGATTATTATTTAAGGAAAGAATGAACGACTCTGGATGAGGAATTAGTCAACGGTCATATACGACCCATAAATTGTTTTTATTCTCTATATAATTGAGTGGCACTGTTCAAGCGATCATCGTCTCCTAGTCATCCTTTTACCCAGCTCATCTAACTTTGCATTTAGCAGGGCATGGACAATTACGTCATGCCAAATTTAGCCTAGTAAATATTCTTTTATACCGAAAACACCCTTTTCTCACGTAAAAATTATATCACCACGAATTACATGCATCGATGTTTCCTTTGTACACTCTATTCCCCGATAAAACATTTGGTGCAACACTTATATAGGTATATTTATACGGGAAATAATATATTTATCACAAAAAAGTTTTGTCATCTTTATAATTAATCTAATTACCGTTGAATTTCGTCAATCTAACGATTATAATTTATTTAAATTATTGGATCGTATTTATTAATTAATTATTAATTCTTAATAAATCTAATAAATTATAATCGTTAGATTGACGAAAATCACGGTGATTAAATTAGTTGTAAAGGTTGTAAATTTTTTTAGTAGTAAGTATGTCTTACCTCTATTTATATTTAAAAAAAAAATTAGAGACTTAAAAGAATCATACAAAAAAATATGGCTTAAAATAATTAAAAAATATTAATAAAAGAGAATACTGAATTCGATAGGGAAGAAATTTCCCATTTCCCGGCCTCCACACAATTGTTTCGGTGATTTTAATGGTTGTTGAGATGTATATCTCAATCATGTTATGTTTACCGTGGATGGGACCTATTTTTTTTTTTTTTTTGATAAACTATGCGACCTCACTTTAAAAAATGCAGCAAGTTCTTAACTATTTTTTAAAGGTTTGACATTTTTGATACTATATAATATAATATATATTAAAATGTATAAGATTTATATGGGCTATGTGAAGAAAATAGAAAGAAAAAATATAGGTACCATATATTTTTATAAGGAAAGTTATATTTACAATCTATTTTGTTTACAACCTCTTACAATTCATATTTTAACCGTTGATTTTCGTCAATCAACAGTTAAGATTTTCGCAAATAAAATTTATTAATTAATTATTAATTCACAATAAATGATAACCGTTGATTGGCGGAAATCAACAGTTAAGATATTGATTGTAAGAGGTTGTAAATGAAAATAAGTTGTAAATATAACCTTCTCCTATTTTATATGTGCATAAAAATAATTTTATCTCCTACAATATAAGAATAGGTGGCAATTTGAGTTGGCCCGCCCTGATCCGCCACCAACCCGTCAAAAATAGAGCGGGGAGAGTTGGCCCGCCATTAAATATGGATTAAAAAAATGAACACACCCCGTTTTATGGTGGGTTGGCGGGTTGACCCGACGGGTCAACCCACCAACCCGCCAATTAAAAAAAATTAATTAAAATTCAAAATAAATTATATTTTATGAATTTTTATAATTTTGTTTTATTTTATTTCAACTTC